AAGGAACGTAACTACGATAACAATACGAATGGTATTGATATCACGATCAGAAAGGTGAATCTTATGTTTGTTTTCATTGCAGTTGTATGGATATTCCTTTTTAGTAAATACATGATCCAAAATCCTGTGTTTTTGTGTATAATGTTATTATGTTATCTATTGTTTACGCAACTGTCTTGTGGGCTAATTTCTTCGTAAAGTTGTTGATGTCTTCAGCAAAAGCTGCCGTGAATAGCTTCGATGAATGTAACGTATTTGAGAGAGCTGCTCAGTTATCTGTTATTGTATATGATAATAGGCTTAATAATAGCAACGATGAAGTATTTTCAATAAATACAGTCTGTAACTGTAACTTAACCAAAGACGAACAACAAGCACTGAAACGACTGAAAAACGACAAGAACATTGTTATACTACCAGCCGACAAAGGACGTGTTACTGTTGTTATGGACAAGACTGACTACTATGACAAAATGGACGCACTTGTTAACGACAAACAAACTTACGAATTACTTAAACGTGACCCGACGCCAGCACTACAACGCAAACTCAACAACAAACTACTTACGCTCAAAAAGACCGACGCCTTTGACACTCAACGTTACTACCGACTGAGGTGCTCTGTACCACAACCACCAAAATTTTACGGATTACCGAAACTACACAAACCTGGGATACCTATGCGACCTATAGTCTCATTCTGTGGGTCCCCGACGTACCAACTGTCGAAATACCTTACGACGATACTACAACCACTGACTGACAAATCGAGACGTAAACTACAATCTACTGAGAACTTTATTGACGCTATCAAAGACGTACAGATACCCGACGACTACAAACTTGTGTCTTTTGATGTGAAATCACTGTTCACCAGTATTCCACTTCAATTGGCTCTACAGTGTACTGAAACTGCCATCCAACAGTCTACTGATGCACTACCATTACCGACAGACGACATTATGGACCTACTTAACCTCTGCCTTACATCGACTTACTTTCAGTACAACGGGAAACACTACAAGCAGTTGCACGGAACAGCTATGGGGTCGCCGATCTCCGTTGTTGTCGCAGAAATTGTGATGCAAAACATTGAGGAACGCGCCCTTGCAACTTGCCGACAAACCATACCGCTTTGGTTACGCTACGTTGACGACACATTTACCGCCGTACACAAAGACGAAATTGACGCTTTTCACAATCACCTTAACGAAAAAAACACCGACATTCAGTTTACCAGGGAGATCGAAGAAGACGGCAAGCTTCCTTTTCTCGACTTTTTGGTAGGCCGAAACAACAACGTATACAGAAAACCGACGTATACCAACAGACTGCTTGACGAATCATCCTACAACCCGACTTCCCACAAAGCTACGACTATCAAGACATTGACAAGACGAGCGCAACTTGTTTGCAACACACCGGACAGTTTATCTGACGAAAACAAGTACCTTGACCGTGTTTTTGACAAAAAAAACTACAACACTGACTTCATTAGACGAAAAACTCACAGGGCGACCGACACTACAGAAACTAACAGGGACTCCACATCTATCACGACTACGGCTATTATACCCTACATCAAAGGCACTTCTGAGGCTATCGCCCGAATCCTACAACCTTACAACATTCGCGTCGCTCACAAGCCTATTACTACTGTACGACATTTACTGACCAACGTTAAAGACAAAGACCAACCCAACAACAGACAGGGAGCGATTTGTAAGATCGAATGCTCCGACTGCCAGGCCTCCTACATTGGTGAGACTGGTAGAAACCTTAACACGCGACTAACTGAACACAAACGAGCAACTAGAAATGGCGATGTAAACAATCACATTTCTGAACATCACCGACAAACTAATCACAGAATCGACTGGGACTCTGCTAGATGCTTAACCTACAGTACAAACTATTTTCAACGTCTGACTTTGGAAAGCTGGTTTACCAACTTAGAACAGACGCCTCTCAACAGATGTCAACAACTACCGGCACCTTACAAACGACTCATTAACGTCGTCAACAAACCGACAAACAGACCGACCAACAACAGACGGATCGAAACCGACCAATGACTGTTAACAAACTCTACATGAGTCTTCCAGCCAATCACATCTCGGCTAAACAGACCAATCACGTTCAACAGACCAGACTTTATAACATCATCGACTGACAGCTACTCTCTATTTGACTCTGAAGATGACTTCCGCATAGGATATCGAAACGTCAGTCACCAACAACAGTTCTTTTCAGAACTACACTCACCCGGACGATCACACTATACGAACTACTAAATTTGTGTTCGTGATTGTGAGCCCAGAAGAATACCAAAGAAAGGAATTACACGTATAAGAAGAAGGTAGAGATTTATGGTATGCCCCGTACTCAAGGAACTTGTGTACTGTTAGAAGTTAACACCTTAAATGAGCTGATAAACTATTTTCAAGGTCTTTATCAAAATCCAAATGTTTTATTTGAACTCAAAGGTGTACCTATTAATGAAAAACAATGTGATATGACAGATATTTCTGATCAACAGTTGTCAGCTGTCCCCTTGAAGCAAATCATGCAGATGCTGAAATTAGAACCATTCATATTCTCTTGTTATGCTGTTGTGCCACATCTTTTTATAGCATTTGTTTTTCCATCATCAAATATTGTGGGTATTGGAATTCACAGACTCTGGATAGAACCACTGACCATGCAAACAAGCTTTACAGAGAAAAACTATACGGTGATAACCATCGACTGACTAGCAACAATTTCCCAAAGACACTTCAAATATATGATGCAGATATTAATATTGCCTTTAATTTGGAGAAACAAGGAATACTATGCTGTACATCTCCTGGTAGCAAATTATTGCTTCAGAAGTTAATCACAGATAACACTAAAGATAACACTGGATTTTGAATGTGGATTTCAAATTATTGCTTCAGCTGTATTTTTCAGCATAATAATATGAAAACAAAATGAAAAAATTTTAAGTACTATTTATAAGATTCAGTCCTAATGGCACACTTGATATATTTGAAAAAATTGAATGACAGTTTTTCTTATTCAGTCATTAGTGGATATTGTTAAAAAACAACTCCAGAGTTAAGATGTAGAATGTTGTATTAAATTTATATGTTGTTCAACCAAATTGTCAAATGCTGGAGGACAGAAGGTAATGGCAAAAAGTAAGTCTCATAGTCAGAAAGAACTACATGCGAAAAGGAAAAAAGAAAGCTATGCACAAATGGAACCTGCCATGAAAAAACAAGTTTTATCTAATAAAGCAATATGATACAAGTCACTGGATCCTGCAGAACAAGAAAAGCTTTTATCTCGCAGAGCTGAAGGGCATAAATCCCTGGATCCTAAAGAAAAGCAAGAGCTTTTGTTCAAATCAGCAGATTGATATAAATCACAGGCTATGCAGAAAAACAAAATCTTTTGTCTAACGGAGCAATTTGGTATAAATCACTGGATACTGCGCAAAAACAAAAGAGAGCAGAATGGTTTAACTCGCTCAATTTTGCATAAAAACAAAAAACAGCAGAATAGTATAATTCATTGAATCCTGAAGAAAAAGAAAAACATTTTTCAGGCAGAGCAGAATGATATAGAACCCTGGATCCTGAAGGAAGCCCGCAGAAACTCAGTTCAACATGATTGAGATCATAAGATCACAGCTTTTCAAAGTAAGATTAGGGAAGGTTCATATTTTATGTGCTCTGTTTGTAACAGAATACTATACAGAAAAACTTTTATCGAGTTAAAAAAACAAATGTAGAACACTCAGCAAGAACTGTTTACTGAGTTGTATACCCATGATTCCTTTCCGTATTGGAATGACCTATCACCTATCGCCTGATGACAACCTTTTCTGAAATAGGTGTATGCCCTTGGCCAGACTTGAGCTCACTATTTCAGTATACTAGTCCGACACCCGTAGTATCACTACACTTGACCCCAAGGATCTAGTACTATCCATGTATCCCAGTTACCCTGCTCACAGGGTCTAGTTTTTTTTTTTTAATAACTCAAAAATGAAGTAAACACATGGAGATGCTGTTTTCTTTATTCAGGCATATCAAGATATCTTCAATCTCTTGATCTCGGAATGAAATGTCCACGAGTTGTTGTGCTCTCTATTTTAATCAAGGGTCGGATAAATTATACTAAAAAATATTTGAGCATTAAACTTTTGAGCGTCACCCTTGAAAACACCATGGCATTAAGCTTACTTGTTTCCATTACGCTCAGTTCAGTAATTCGTAATAACAGCTTAGCTTTTAAGAGCTCCTCAACCCCGCCCACCATTCCTATCACTAACAGGTAAAACTTGTTGAGAGTAAAAAGCTTAGTTCAGATCAGAACATTCGAATTCCTAAAGTTCAAACAGGAAAAGCGGGATCACTTTTGATTTTACTCAGGCTAAAGAATTTATCTCTTTTTGGACTGTAAAATCAAGGAATTTTTTCATAAGTTTAGACATTATGCTGGCATTATGTTCGATGCTCTAACTATAGTATCATGCCCCAAATTACACCGGCATAATTTATCTAACCCCATTCGAATCGTTGGTTTTTCTCTTCATAACATCTATTCGTCTCTCTAACGTTAAGATTGTTACGTTGAATTTTGCAGTGTAATGAAACGTTGTATTGTAAGTTCGAAGAGGCATTCCCATAGAAAGTCAGTGGGCGACCCTCACTGTAGCGAGATCGTGTACGGTAATGGCGGAAAAAGCCACAGGACCATTTGAAACGCAGGGTGGTAAGGAGAAATTTCCAGTCGGGGTGGGGGGAAGGAGGAGGGGAGAAAATCGTAAATTATCAACTTAACTGATTTTTGGGGAAAGAGAAGGGAAGAGAATCCTGTATTATCACCTTCAATGATTTTTGGGGCGCTTCTAAATTAGGTGTATTTCTTTTTTTTGTTAGTTGAATTTGAGAGGTATAACATGTATCTCAGGGCCACCATTGATAAATACTGAATGGTCCCTCACTTTATCATTCACAGACAGCGAAGATGAAGAAGAAGAAAAAAAAGAAGAAGAAGGAGAGAAAGAGGAAGAAAAAGAAGGAGAAGGAGAAGAAGAAGAAGAAGAGAAAGACGAGGAAAAAGAAGAAGAAATAGAAGAGGAGAAAGAAGTAGAGAAAGAAGAAGAAAAAGAGGAGGAGGAAAAAGAAGAAAAATAACAAAAACAACAACAAGGAGAAGAAGGAAATGAAGATCTTGGTTCTTTTAATGTTAGTGACTTTGCTGACAAAGAGGATGATGGAGTTTGTGAAACAGTTGAGAAGAATGTTGATAAGGAATTGGGTTTTTCATCTGATGTCGACAAGAACGAGCAAGAAAGGCTGGAGAAGGAAGAGGAAGACCCAGGAGAATTTGAACGAAAATCAAAACAACTGGAAGAGGTATTCAGTTGTTTGCCACCAGTTCTTATCAAGATAGTTCTCCGTCGAGATGACGTGAAAGGAAATCTGGTAAGAGCACGTCAAAACCTACAAGAGTTTCAAGATATGGAGAATCCTGCGGACGTTATTAAAAGTCCAGCTGAAAGAAGGCCATTGATTACAAAACCTAAAGGAATGGGACGTGGAGGTCAAGGCGGTCGAGGACCTCCATCAAAACCAAAATTAAAACCAAAACCAAAACTAAAACCAAAACCAAAATTAAAACCAAAACCAAAATTAAAACCAAAACCAAAACCGAAGCAAAAGGGTAGGGGACACGGTGGAAATTTCCAAGAGCAACATGAAATTCCGGGAGATTTTCAGGAGAGCAATCAGTTTTCAGATGCTAAAGATGACTCTCAATTTATGCAAATACAACCGAGCGAACAAAATGGAAGAGGAGGAGATCCTCATGAAAATCAGGAGTATCCAATATACTTAAAGGAGCTTTTCAGCAGTAAAACCCCCAGTTCTTTCGATGATTCGGATGCAGGGAAGTTCAGACAAAGTAAACCCAGCAAAAACAGACAGGGAGACTGCGGTAGGGCACGAAACCGACGTGGTAACAGAGATGTTGGTCAAACTGGGATTAGACGAGCACAGAGCATGTCCAGTATCGCAGAAGAGGGGCTTGCTGATCAGTCTCAATTTGAAAGAAATAAAATACTCATTCAAGGGCTGAGTGAAAAAACCTCTCGGGACGGACTGGTGAACTTTATCGAGGTAAAGAGTGGCGGGGAAGAAGTTAAGGACGTACAGATTCTGAAGAATGAAAAAGCCTTGGTCACCATGGCTGATGAAATCAAAGGTACGTACCTTTCAATTAAACTTGGAGAGTAAGCAGGAATTTCTTTATCGTACTTCTTTGATCTGTTTGCGAGTTATCAGGGATGAAAGCTCACGCCGGCTCAGTTTCATCCTCTCAGTTTCAAGCAGTGAACTTATCTTCAAATTCTATGAAATTAACTTTTCATCGATTAAACTTGTTGTATGCTTAATTAGTAGCTGAAGAATTAAGATGCTTTATTTTAGGTGTCCCACCATTTAAAGACATTTCGATTTTCTTCTCTAAACTATACAAATAATGCAGATCAATGTACTCAATTTATTTGGGAACAGTACATGTAATTCAATGAGTTTTGTTCCTTTCAGGAAAACTCCAAAAGTGGAGACAAACATTTGATGAGAATATGACCTGTTTTCTTTAGATTTTACGAAAATAAAGACCAAATGCGAGGAGAATCGTCTGGATGATGCAAAGATTTCCATTCAATAAGTCCCGGTTTGCAAAAGCATCCTTGTCACTGGCTTTTCAGACGTTACCCATGATTTTATTGAACTGCACTTTGAGAGTCGTCGAAATGGTGGGGGTCCTGTGGAGAAGGTTCACCATGTTCCTAAAAGTAGTCAAGCTGTGGTTGTGTTTCAAGATGCAAAAGGTTTGTAGGTCACTGATCTCTAAAAGATAAGTATAGTGTAATTCCCTCAGGCACGAATAATCGACATCTGATCCTCGAACATACGTAGCAAATATTGATTGCCCTGATTTAAGACTTGAGTTACACATTAGACTTAAGGAGGGATGAATTAGTATTTAGATCGTGAATTGATCGATTGTTTGACTGACTGATTGATTGATTGATTGATCTACTCCGCCCCAACAACCCCATCGTCCTTACTCTGTGCGTCTCTCTCTCAAATTAAAGTGTCGTGAAGTGTTGTGAAACGACAAACAACTTCCTCAAGGAAATTCCTGACACCTAGTTGCTTTAATCAATAGATATGGAAAGAGTGTTAACCAGACATGAAGAGAAACCTTATGAGATTGAACAAACCCAGCTGTCAATTAGAGCTTACCGAGAGTTTCTAGAAGACGAAGACGTTGATGGAGCGGAGGATTCTGGTGACTTAGGAGCTACTGCAACCGCGGCCAGTGAATCTCGAGTGAGCCAGAAACCTGATGCCAAAGCACAACAGCTGCACATAGCTGTAGATCCCGATGTTATGGAATACGTCACGTCTACAGGATTCCAAGCTGAACTGAACAATTCACTGTCTGGAAAAAAGAGCGAAATCACCTTGAAACCCAACAGCAAAATGGCTGTAATAGTGTACCGTGGGGAAGATGACAGTGATTCATGGCAATCTGAATGCATTGACCAAGTACAAAATTATCTCGGCAAGTTTGAGAAGTGCGATGTGCAGGTCAACAAGGATTTCTGGGAAGCCGTTATAGCAAAAGTTCCCAGCATTCGCACCTGCTTAGGAGTTGATCCCCCGCTGATCAAGACTATTCCTGATTCAAATATTGTTAGGATCGTTTCATTAGGAACAAACGTGAAAAGTAACGAGGATAAGGTGAAGTCAAAGTTGGAAGAAATATACCGCGAGGAGACCAGAAAAACTTACCTGAAGAAGAAAATTCCAAATGTTCCTAAGGAGCGCCTAATTTTGCTGAAGAAGATAAAATTTGCCGAGAAACTCCAAGAAAAGAACAAGGAGCTGGAGATCAAGATTAATACTGAAGGTGAAGAAATATATTTCGAAGGTCCCCAGTCACAATTCACTGAGGCAACCATGAAGTTCTACAAACAAATGGCTGACATGGTTGAGAAGAAACTAACTTTATCCGTCAGCATCCTGAAGATTTTAAACTCAGATGAGGGGCTTCAGACTGTCAAATGTGAGTTGGAAAGAAACAACGTGGAAGCAGTGTTCGTTATTGAGAAAGACGCCACCATAGTGGGATCATCAGCAGCGCATGCAAACAACGCGGCGGGGCTCGTGAACAAGTTGACGGTGGAAGAGAAAGTTCAAGTGGACGAGAAAAGCAAGCATTTATTAAAGTCATCTGAATGGCTGAGGTTGTGTGGCGAGATGAACCAAACGGCTGTCCGTGTCCGGAGGGACAACTGGAACGATACATACGTAGCTGGGTTTCGTGATGACGTGACCGAAGTGATAAAGAAGTTAAATACCTTTCTTGAAAACAATTGCATCAGGGAGGGAAGGTTTGTGTGCACGTCTGATATTATGCGAAGGTATCTTCTTGAGCCACGTCAAGAAGATCTACGCACCATAGAGAATCAACTAAAAGATTTTGTAGTGAGTATTAAAAAGGGAAAAGACAATGATGATTTTGTCATTTCTGGAAACAGAGATGGTTTGAAACGTGTAGGAAAGAAGCTCGATGCTCTGATGGATTCCACTGAGTTCAAAACCTTTGAAGTGAAACAGCCAGGCCTTCGAAAATACTTTGACAGTGGAAAAGGAGATCAGCTGGTGAAAATGGTGGAAAAACAACAAGACTGTGCCATAAAAGTCCAGAAAAGTTTAGGTCGAGGAGGAAAGGAAGAGGAGCTGCGCGTCGAATCTGTTTTTGAAGCCTCTACTACTTCAGGCGACGGTGAAGATGATGCGGAGGATGACCACGCTACCACTACTGGAACTGACTCGTCTACCTTGGTAATAGCCCAAAGGTACAGAGTGTCGTGGAAACCTGGAAACATAGGGGAAGAGAAGGTAAGATCGACTCACTAATTTCTTCACACCAGCAGAATATTTTACGAAAATACCTTAGAGGATCTTGTTGGCACATATATGGATTTTAAAGGAAGATGTTTTTCGTCTTGTCACGAGCGTGTGACAAAGAAAAAAAATCTGAGTCGCCATGAGGAATCGAACCTCAGACCTTTGGATTCCGCGCTCCGATGCTCTACCACTGAGCCACATTACGAAGTTCATATAACACGCGTCCTGCATACTGCTAGGATCAGCAATGTCGATAGCGTAATGTTTGCAGATGGAAACAAGAGAGATGGTAGTTTTTGAGCTCCGTAAAGAAATAAAGAAAGATGTTTTTCGTCTTGCCACGAGCATGGGACAAGACGAAAAAATGTTTCTTTATTTCTTCACCGAGCTCAAAAACTTACCATTCCTCTTATATGGATTTTAGTTCTTCACTTAGCTCTCATCTGCTCATAGAGTGTGGTTACATTATGTAACGCCTCTCTAATTAGGAGTGCCAAGTCTGATAACGATTACAGTCAACCATATTGAAGAAGTTCATGAAGCACTGACAATATTTTTTTGGTTGTGTCTTCTAGGCTGACGTACTTGTCTGTTCTCTAGGAGCATGCCATATAGCAATCATTAACACCGGTGGCCCCAAGTCCAAAATCCCCAACGTTGGTGACATTACTGTCTCAGGTGGTTTTTCCTCGGTCAGTCACGTGATTCTCGCTAACTGTTGCAAGTGGAACAACGGTGAAGGGGAACCGGTAAGAAACAATGAAAATACATTGAAGAGTACTTATTGTTTAGATTTGATTAAAGCCTAAACGATGTCGGATGCCCGACTGGCGAATCCTATCCATTCTCTTGTAGCATACAGCAACTGAAGACTGTTCAGGCTCGATTTGATGTTATTTCCGATGTAGGTTATCGTCAAACATTCCGTCATGTCAGACATGGTTTGATGCTACTCTGGTTTAAAGATTTAATGAATGTAACCGAGAAGTTACAATTCATAGACCCAATATTTCGACATTCCTGTCTAATGCCTTCATCAGGGGTGATCTAAACGCTGCAACCAGAGGTCCCTTTATACGTTCACCAATTAGCTGCCTTTTTTCTAACGAGGTGTAAATGGGCGTCAGGAAGTAGGCCGCCATCATCACGATTTAGAGGAGCGTGGACGGAGTTAATATGCCAGGCTTCCAAACAAAGGCGCTGGTGGTAACGCCGATTAGTAATGATAATATTAGACTTATCCCCCTGAATTGTAGGGTTGGTTAGGCATGTGTGCTCCGATAAAGCTAAATTTTCTTTTTTATAAAAGAAAACCGCTTTTTGATGCTCTTTCAAACGTGTACCAAACTGACGTTTGGTCCGTTCGATACTCGTTATCACAGTCATTGCAAGGAATAGAATAAATAGCGTCGGTTGGTTGTTCTTTCGTAACAGGACCATTCTCTTCGGGAATGATCAATCGTATATGTAACGACACAATTATTTCATAAAGTAACTTTCAATTTCTGGTATCATTCGAAAATCTTAATCAGAAATTTTGTAGAGTTGGTGAGAGCAAAGATCTTGCTAGAAAAAAAACAAAATGAGAAAAAATTAATTAGGACTAAAGGTAATTTCCGTGAAGTTATAATTCAAACATCCTCGATCCTGATCCTGATCCTGATGTTCTCTGGTGTGAACATCCTGCATGGCGCCCTCTCAATATCCTCTGAAAAATGTTAACAAAATTCAAGTTTCAGATAACTTTGATCCCCGGAAAACAAATTCCAAGAAAACTAAAAATAGCTCGAAGGGGAGTCAGTTTTTTAACCTTTTTAAGGTCACTCTTTAAGGTTTTTCTCCTCCCTTTATCAATCCATTATCAACCGGAAAGGCGACGGGAAGAAGGAAAATATACCAATAAGGGGATATTGTATGACTTAACGCTAAATTTTAAGTTCCAAACTCAAAAGAAATGTACAGAAGACAGTGTGGAGAATTGCTATTGAGATCACATAGGAACGAAAAGATTTTCAACAACTTCTATTTCATCTTTTGTAGACGCTAAGGGCCATCGTTCAAAAGTGTCTGCAAACAGGCCAAACGCTTAGAGCGAACTCCATTGCATTTCCTGTCATTGGGACTGGAAACCTGCGCTTCCCACGCGATGCAGCCTCGAGAATCATGTTGGATGAAACAGTCAATTTCTGCAAAACCAACCTTGCTTCTAATTTACGGGACATCCGATTTGTCGTGTTTAACCAAGATCAAGCATTAACTACCGCCTTCAAACAAGAGATGGACAAACTACAGCCCAAGCAAACTAGCCTCCCTGCCATCACGACTTTAACTAAAGGAATACGTTCCTTCTTTGGATGGAAGAAAACAGTGGGGACATTGGGTGTAAGCATTGAAGTCTTGCAGGGCGACTTGTGCCAGGAAACTACGGATGCCATAGTGAATATAACAAGTAAAGACTTGAATATGGACAGTGCTGGAAAGTTGAGCCAGACGGTGAAACAGCTAGCCGGGCCACAGGTTGAGACTGAGTTGAAGCAGTTCGGACAGCAATCAGGTGGAACCGCATTGATCACCAGCAGTGGAAATCTCCCTACGCAGAAAATTATTCACTTAATTCCAGACACCAATAATAAAGACCACCTCCAGCAGTGTGTTGAAAGATGTCTTCGGCTGGCAGAGACGCATAGTCTTAGATCCATTTCGATTCCCGCAGTTGGTACTGGTGCATTCCATGTTTCTGCAGTGGACTCGGCCGGCTTGATATTTAAGGCCCTGACAAACTTTAGTAGAAGCTTCCGTAGTGTCCGCAAGGTCAGGATCGTAATCTTCGAGTCTCCAATGCTGTCGGCATTTCAGCAAGAACATCAGAGGCATTCTTTTTCTCCACAAGTAGGTGTGGCTCAGCGCATAACCTTAACTAGCCCGTTCAGTATCGAGGTGATAAATGGTGATTTGACGCAGGAGAACAGCACTGATGCTATCATGAATATCAACAGCACGGACATGAACATGAATAATGCAGGAGACCTAAGCAAAGCCATAGCAAGACGGAGTGGTCGACTTGTGCAACAAGAATGCAACCAATTGGGAAAGCAGCCTCCTGGAACAGCGAAAATGACCAGCGGAGGTAATTTACGAGTGCCTCATATTATTCACATAATTCCAGGCTCCTCAGATAAGCACCATCTCCAGCAATGTTTGGAGGAGGGTCTTCGCGTTGCGGATGCCAATAATCTTCAAGCAATCTCAATTCCGTGTGTTGGCACAGGAGGATACGGCTTGACCGCAGCGGACTCAGCCCAACTGACGTTCAAAGCACTAAACGCATTCGTTTCCCGCTGTAAAAATATTAAAAAAGTAAGAGTGGTCGTGTTCCAGGCCCCTATGATGCAGGAGTTTCTACAAGAGCAGAAAAAACAACTGGTGCGAGGTATTGAAGAAGACAGTGACTCAGAGGATGCAGTAGTTAAGCAAACCCGAAGACGCGGACGTAGGCAGGCACCAGGCCAAAGTAATGAACATTCTGTAATAATTTCTGTGATCGGCAAAGACAAGGTGAGCGTGGGAAAAGCCGTGGAATCTTTGAAGAAAGGTTTCTCTGACGCTTGTACAACGGAAAAAGTCGAAAATGAAACGGTCAGTCAGCTTTCCGATAAGCAGAAAGATATCCTGAGAAAAAAGGCTAAAGACCGTGACGTCAAACTTGAAATTGAGGATGACGTTAATCGCATTGTCGTTCGTGGTGGACCAACCGAAGTTTCTGGAATAGTCGGGGAGATCTGGAAAGAGATCAATGAGAGGACGAAGAAGAAGCAGGAGGAGGAACAAGCGAAGTTGGTTTTAAAGAACATAGAGTGGAGCTATGAAATACAAGGCATACAAATGGCGTTTGCTCCGAAAGCAAATGCCAAGATTGAGTTGGCCCACAGCAAAGACGAGCACACAGTGCAAGTTTCTCTACGAGGAGACAAGTTTGTTATCGACTTGAAGAGAAACTCTGGACGTGGACAAACATTTGGTGAACAAATAACACTGACAAGAAAGGTGAAGGGTGCTGATGAAGGTTAGTTGCTATGCATTTCTTTTGAAGAGGATGTTTCGATAAGCTTTAAGAAAGGACTGAGAGCTATTTCATGTCCCAGAGGACGTTTAAGGTAATAAACATTTAATACAGGAAGGGGATATTCAGAAAAGCTGTCCTTAAATGTCTCCACTGAGCTTTCTTGATAATCTTGAATGTGTCTTACCTTGAATATGTTCTTGGATGTTGAAATTTAACTTCAGTCGATGGGTTTTCATTTCAACATTCTAATGTTTTGGTCCTTTCTGTAGGAATTGCTCTGCCAAAGCACTGGACACCAATGCCCCGCCATGACTCCACTGTACATAAAGTACCGCTGCACCCAAGTTCCCCTGAGTATCAAGATGTGGTACGTAAGTTTCAAGCTACAGTCGGTGCGTTAAATATTCAGAGGATTGAACGCGTACAGAATCCTCATCTGTATCAGTCTTACCTGGTACGAAAACAGAAAATGGATAAAGATACTGGAAGAAATAGTGAAAGACAGCTGTTTCATGGGACTGATGCTAAAAATATCAACCATATCAACACACAAGGATTCAACAGGAGCTTCTGTGGGGCTCATGGTAAGTCAGTTAAATTTTAAATAGAGGAGAAGTTTTCTCGTCTAGCTACGGGGTGGGATTAAGGAAAAATTTCAAGTACTTGTGAGGAATCGAACCTCAGATCTTCAGATTTCATTTTTCAACGCTATACTATTGAGCTTCAGACTCTACGATGAGCAGGGTTTTCACATGGTTAATATGTGGCACGCCTTCTACATCCTGCAAGGATCATTCATTTCGAAAGCTTCGTGTGTTAAAAAATATCATTGAAGCAATATTTTAGTGCAATTGCTCTTAACTATTAGAGCCTAATGATGTTTTGGCCACAATTCTATTCATATATTTGTCTACCTGTCCTACCAAGTCACCCAGACGTTGCATGAGCTCAGGCCAAATCACTCTTTGGAGCCAAAAATTGGTAATAAAAGCTGTAATAATAGAAGAATAATACAGTTGCCTCTCTCCTAACAAATAACTTCACTGAATGTATGATTTTGTTGATATTTTTCTCTACATTGAGCATTCTTTTTTTTTTTTCAGGCACGGCTTATGGACGTGGTGTTTATTTTGCTAGAGACGCTCAATACTCTGTTCGATACGCTGGGGGTGGTGGTTATGGAGGGCGCCACATGTATCTTGCCAAGGTTCTCGTAGGGCAGTATTGTGTTGGAAATCCTTCAATGAAGGTGCCTCCACCAAAAAACCCATCAAAACCTGAAATTCTTTACGATTCTGTGGTAAATAATCAATCAAGCCCCAGCATCTTTGTTGTTTTCTTTGATAATCAGTGTTACCCTGAATACCTTATAACCTTTTGAAGACCACATGGACCTTTTACTTAGAAAACAGCAGAGTTAAAGGCCGAAAAAGCTTGAAATGCTTTATAGTTCAACTTAGTTTATCAGCTATATGAATTGCAGAAAATCGTTCTCCTTCACAGTGTAGGGAACATCATATAAATGTTGGTTATAGTTTCTCGATAGCTTTCTTTACTCAAAGCTTATTCTTTATCCTATAAGTTGAATGATTATATCCTTGGAGCTAGAGGGTCCTTGTAATGCCAAACAGTAAAATCCAGCTGAACGCTTTTTTATCTCAACAGTGGAGTTACCACTAGCCTACAGGCTACAGTTGTCATTTTTTCACGTTTCTCGGGCGAGCGTAGGGAAACGCGAGACGTGCGCGGGGACCACGACATAGTCGTGTTCCTCGCCCCACGCGTTCACCTCGCGCTAGCCCCGTTTTCTCTCTTGGAAAAGAAAAGAGTTCTGCTGTTCTCAAAACGGTATTTTCCTTTTTATCGCCAGACAGACAAACAATATTTTGTTACATCAATTTTCTACCAAAAATAAAACTGGCGAAAGTAGAGAATTTCGAAAAATATGCGTACCTTTTTGAGAAATGACAGTGACGTCGCTAAGATGACATTTGATTTATGATGTAAAACATTTACTGAAAAGAAACTTAAAGAAGCATTTATTATTTAGTTGGCAGCCAAAAGCTCGGTCAGAAAGTGTGGCATAGTATTACCCACGGGTTTCACGAACAGGTTTATTTACTGAAATAAAATATGGAAAGAAAAATTAACGTGTTAGTTTTTTTTTCGTCTTCAACTAGTGGTTCTGTGGCAATATCTTACGTTTTTCGGTATGAACGAGTGAGGGAGAGGAAGTCCTACCAGCAGATAAGAACACTCAGACAAGAAACTTCCTATCAAAATTTCTATAATCGCAGTGTAAGTCTTCTGAGTAGAGTAATCCTTGCTTTTGTAGAGAGACCGTGCGACCATGAATGTTGCGTGACAAGCAAGTGGCATCACTTGTCACGAATATTTTCGCGCCAAAACTGAAGGGCTCATTGTCCGCAATTGACACTTTGTAATACTAGCTTGCAAAGGAAGGGAATCTTTTGATTTCCCATTCACACCTCCCATCTTATTCCTTCTCGGCTTTGAGGCTGTCCCCATCTGTTTCTGCCTGCCTCAAGAGAAATCAGCTTTTCACATATAAATACAGGCGAATAACATTAGGTCATTCATCCACCATTTTCAAAACAAGGATAAGTGCATTTGTAGTTTGATATCGTGTAATGATTTACCTCTGTAGTAATAATACTATTGTGACCGATTCTGCAATTATAAGCGAAATCTCTAAATATTTATTTAATAATCGCTTTGTAAGGGGACTGTTTAGTCTTTTTCCAACTTTTGATACCCTCCCAGCTTGTCAGCAAGCCAACCGGAGCAAGAGCACGTGTAACAAAGTAAATCTTGTGTCATTTGCCGTATGGTTTTTCTGGCCATCTCGAGGGCGATGGTTCATACACGGTCAAACCCAAGACTGTGCAAAAGTTACATTTGAAATCTTGCGCGCGGAGTAAACGGCAATAGAATATTCCTCTCCAAGTTTTTCATCGTTTTTCATTATTTTAGAAATGTCTCAAAAGAGCGGCTGCGAAGAAGGCCTTTATGACGAGAAGTTGCAAGAACTAAAGTTAAAAAGACCACATTCGTTTTTTGCAAACTATTTCACACGCAAAGTTCGAGCCTCGACTCTGTGTACTTCGTTAGCTTCCGGGCATACTCGACTTTATGTTGTGTTAAATGCTATGTGCTTCTTGATCCCTTTTGTACGATGTTCCTGACTATTGTTTTTGACTTTCCGATGATCTTTTCTCAGAAGAGCCATCCAGATACCAAAAGTTGAAGTTCTCACATAAGTATCGATTGCCACAAGTCAGGTCCATTGAGAAGCGGCGAAAAGACTGGTTTCAACTCCTCCTCCTGTGCAAACCGGAGAGTCACCTGCAAAGAAGCCCCGTTTGGCACATGATTTTGGTCCAGATCCGCAAACAAAATAAACATACAACTCGCTGTTAAAAAAGAAAGACTTGGAAAAGGTCTCGCAGACGCCTTCACAATTCAAAAGATCGAACACAAAGATGTTGTTAAGCTCTTTAAAAGACAGCTCATCAATCTCAAGAGATTCGCCGAGTTTACTGACGTGAAGTTGTTGATCACGTGTGCAGGTGTCATTCTTGTCCAGGGTGAACAGAGTGGCGTGACAGAGATAGTCAGCAAAATTTGGCGACGTATGAACGAAATATCCAAAGGTTTATTCGAAATTATATAAGAAAACGACCACGACAACTTACAATTACGCTAGGTAAGAATCTTGGTTTGACCAGCGAAACATTTCTAGATCACGCAAGCAGTTTTAGCTGCTACCGTGCCAATTTTCTTCTAGTGATGAGGGTTACCCATTTCGCTCACATTTATTTAATTTTCTTTTTACAAGAGAACTAAACTTTAAAAATGCAGTCTTTTCATTCTCCGTGTCTTAAAAAAACATCGCTGAAAATAACTGGATTCACACGTAACACACGGAAAGGAAAGTCCCAATTTGGCTTGCTCCCAGTTCCCAGCCTCTTTTTTCCCTCACGGTTTCCCAGGAAAACCGGAACTACTGTCCCGTTCAAAGTAAAAGTGCAGTGCATACGAATGAGTTATTTTACGACAGTGTTTCTGTCGGGAAAGGAAGAGGAATCCTCGCTTGAAAAACTGTAAAGATTGACGGTAAGTTTCTTGGATTCCTAATGAATTATCCTGATGTAATAATTTCTCAGAATTTTCAGGGATTTATCAGCTAACACAAGTTCTCGCGAGCGGAACAATTTTCCAGCTTTGCACTAGAAAATACAAGCAAATAATTCTACTTAAGTACTCTCAGAAGTGATATACGACTGCTTGTGTTAGCTCCTTGATAAAAAGATTCATAGCGAACTTCAAATATTTGCGATTGAAACTGCATCATACTCTTACTTTCTACTGTTTTCATTTGCACGGTAGTCTTTGAGTAAGCAGTTACAAAGATCATTTTTTTTTTAATTTCAGCATTCGCCAATTCTACTAGTCATCAAGGTCAAATTTCAAGCTCGTGCCTCATCAACAATGGATGACGAATACTCATATTATGGTAAGGATGCTTCATTGCAATGTGCAATGAATGTAAATTGAAACCAAACCGATAATATTCTTGTGTACTTATACGAGCGTTTGCACCCGTGATTGTTGGACAGTCGATTTTGTACCTCTAGTTTTAGGTAAAGATTAGTGATAAATGGATTTAGAACGTAATCTGGTAGAATCCTGCGCTAAAGCGACCGATCGAGACACTTTTAGCTCGCATATCGTAGAAGTTGTATTACGCGCCACTGCCTCACGCCTAGCTTGTGATCATGACTTCGCACATTTCTCGGATTCTTGTGAATTTCTCGAAGTTTTATGATGATTTTAGTTTAAGAAATAACGTGAAAGAGAAATTGTTGCCTGTTGCCTCAATGAGCGGGATTTGACAAATTTGCTAAAAATTAAGCACAGCAATCTCGAAGGGTAGAAGCATCCGGAAGCAATTGTTTGCACTTGAAAACTTTTGATCCATGAACACTTTCACTAAAATTTCACAGTCAAGGAATGACGCCTCTTGAGATGATAGAGTCCTCAAAATTACTGGTTGATAAATCACAATCCGAAAAACATTTATTTCCTTTACTCATCGGAAGGACATTCCACATGTTATTTACTCGACTTAAACCGGATGTCATAATACGAGTGTAATTATATTCAACCACCATCAATTCAGCATTTTTAGACAGTCTGTTATACAAACAAATCGATATCAACACCAGGAAATAAATATTTCTGTCTCAGCTTGCTTCAATCAGCTAGAAGCAGAAAAAAATTCTTTGTCGGAACGGAAAAGGTAAAATAGGCGGGAAAAAAACAATACCGTTAAATGAACCGTGTGCCTTGAATAAAAAAAGGTCGCTACATATATCACAGGCATATTATGCATGCAAGAGTTATTTCAGTTGGGGTGGGTGGATTGATTGAAACATTGTAAGTGATGTCTACATTTTCACAAAAGGAAAGAGTACTAACGCGGAAAGGAACCAAAATGTCCAATTAAATCACTCACGGGTATTTTGTGGTCGATTGTGTGTGTTGGCGAATAGCTATAACCAAAAATATACTGTATTGGTGCCACGGATACCTGTTAGAACAAATTGCAGAATGCAGGGTGCAGACCGGATACAAAATGTACGCTAGGTACAAAATGTAGACTGCAGACTGCAGAGAGGGTACAAAATGCAGGCTGATAATTTAAAGTGTTTTTTTCGCCTGGTATGTGATGACATGTCATCTTACGACTTACCGAGCGTCACGCAATCGCTCTTCCGCGATCAGCTTTCACCGTTATTTGCGCTATTGTAGAATATTGCTGGTCCGTTTCTTGATCAAAATCGTTCTAAATACAATTTCAAGCCTTCATATAGTCTTCTCACATTGCACGCGAGTCGGTTGGTGCGATGCTTGTACAGATTTTACCCAACTTACTGAAAGTAGATGTAGATGTAAATGAGATGTCATTTTTGAATATTTAACACGCCCAATATTCGAGAAACAATTATTTTTAGGCGGTATGAGTTTATTTTGTTGACAAAAATGCGGACCGAGATAAAAACTGTTCCTTCGACTTGATGTATTTTCAACGTCAGTAGATCACGTAATTTTAACTTACCTCCGTAAATCATTCACTCCAGTTAACAGAATCAAATAAACATGCTAACGATGGTATTTGAATTCGTCCTTGGCCAAACATAAAAAACTCCACAAGCTCACTTTCTCCAGGCAGGAAAACATTTCCATTCGTCCAGTGTTCTCAAAATTACCCTCGAAATAGCCAAACAATTTCCCTCAACAGCCAATCATGACACAAAATCCACCTTGCAACACACTTGCAACTGTTGAAACTGCTAACATCGAAAGTAACACACCACGATGTTTACCATGAAATTTACTGCAAACAAACCACCAAAAAAAAAAAAACTTACCCATCTTTTGTAGAAAAATGGTGGTTTAATAAAAACACCTCCTAACATTGCATATAAATCAAACACGATGTCACATGAGGCGACAAAGCTTCCTAAGAGCCACACAAAATCTTCCATAGTTAATTTTAATTAGACATTCATCCAGAGATGGCATCGAGCAAACCAATCCATAAAAATATAATCGATACACTCTACAAATCATGAATATTGTAACATAACCTACCGTTAAAGAAATGCCTAAATCAAAATGTTTGGTACAATTCATCAACGCCTCAAGCGATACTTGATTCAAAAATTTTCCCCCCTTTCTCGTCGTGAAGGAACAATAACCATGATCGCGCTACAGTGCACAGGACTCCATTTTCTCTCGAACAACTATCCACCATTTTCACAGCATGAGTAACACGTTTAATATAGATAATCTGATGTCTTTCATCTGTTCAGTAGTATCGCATTTCTCCTTAAGCGCGGTAAAATACACGTTAAAAACACAGAAAAGCCATCATTTCTCATTCTGAATGATGATTCCATCTTGCGAACCGCTCTCTCAGAATCTCCCATTACTTCGTTGAAATTTGAACATTTCTCAAACCAAAGAACAAAAACGACGCACTGATTGGTGCGAAATACATAACCTAATGCGGCGATCTGATCGGTGCGAGTAACATATCACTCTATACGCTAACATTGAGTTATTACCACAAAACACCTTTGTTTTTTTGTCGTCTTTTTTTTTCCTCCGCCACAAAATGGAAAAATAAGTCCGCAATGCGTGTGTGTGGCTTACGAAATTGAGCTGCTCTTTAGTGTCTAGTGTCTCATTGGGTTCTTATTAGAAGAGCTAATATCTGATTACCATTAGATAGTTTTCAATATTGATCCTGTTCATCAATAACACAAGATAACTAGCATACAAAAGTCCTGAAATGTTCATTCTGAAGATGAGAGTTATTGGCCAAACTTTGTTATGGAGGTCTCATTTTGACAACAAAGGTTGCACACGTAACCCAAGGATTTTAGGAACTGAAAAAACATCAGTATAACCTCCCATAGTGGTCTGATAAATTCAGTCATGATTGTGTTTACGTAACGAAGTGGAATTGACTTCTGAAGTTTGTAGGTTGATTGTCTTTTCCAAGGCAAGTGATGTGAAATGAACCTTAGGGAAGAATTTAATATGAATATTTTTCACATTTTGTGTATTGTTTATGTATTGCTACCAAGTATAGATACCAATGCTTATCTGAACCATTATGAAGAGAATCTAGAAGACTGATAGGCTTGAAGGAAGTCATGAAATGTTAAGGTCTGAATAATTCTGGCCATAACTTGGAAAACATAACACTAATCAAATTTCAGTTAACATTAAAGCATTAGGCTCCTATTCATATTTTAATAAAAGCGAAACCACTTTGTCACTGAGTTTCAATGGATTACTCCCCAAAGTTTGGAATCAATCGCAATAGACATTTAGCACCATGTTAATGATAAACCGCAGTTTCAGGTTAGGCGTTAGACGTTTGTGACTTTTATTGGTTTAGCTATGTAAACATGAGAGTATAATTTCATTTAAAGAGGCCGTCGAATTGAATTTCCAGACAACAGCAGTGTTTCATTTTCTAATAGCAACAAAAAAGTCCTATTTTCACTCACTGGCTAGAAATTGTTTATTCTATTCGTAATGAATGACATGTAATGCCATGGGTGGCTGGGTATTCTGCAGTTTAACCAAAATTTTATCTTAGCATGTACTTAAAAGACTGGTTAAGTAATTTTCTTACCAAGCATGTGGTATAAACAGAAATTCAGGATGAAAAACGTTCCGGTAAATAGTTGCTTTCTGAAGCTTTGAAGCTCAGGTAACTTAGCCAAGCATAGACTGGAACCCATATTCGACGATAGTAAACCACGTGACAAGCGCTCTGTTCACCGTGACAAATCCAGCCAGGAATAATTATTTTCGATCATGACATAGCGTGGTTTACACTTCGTGCAATAGTACCCAGAGGTCATTGGGCCCTCAACACCATGACAACTAACTGTGATCCAATGAGGGTGAGGGTATTCACATGCTGATCACGTGTGTTATCTTGCTGGTGATTGACAATGTCATGCACGGACAGGGCCG